GTGTGTGTGTGTGTGTGTGTGTGTGTGTGTGTGTGTGTGTGTGTGTGTGTGTGTGTGTGTGTGTGTGTGTGTGCGTGTGCGTGTGCGTGTGCGTGTGCGTGTGCGTGCCGCCCTGGAGAGAAGGAGACTTTTAAGACAGCACAAGCCCTCCCATCACCAGAGCGAGCAACACAAGGAGCACTCAGACTCTCCATGCTCGCTGAAGCCGCCCAATTCAGACAGATCCAACCGAAAGATTTAACAGGTCGGGAAGATCTGTTTCTCTGAGTGCAGGCTGGATTCTGTGGCCAAGACCCTGTGAGGGGTTTCCTGGGTCATGTCACAAGCTGTTCCACACTGGCTCAGCGCTGTCGGCAGTACAGAGTCCTCCAGGGACTTGCAGAGACATGGTGCACTCCTCTATGTTGCTGAGGAGCTTGGAATGTGTCTGGTTAGGTGGACAGATTGGAACAGCCTCTCTGTACTCTCACTCTCCCTGTGCACCCACTGTGGGCCCAGGTTTGCATCTAATACTCAAACGCTTTGACTGCCCCTGCAACTAAGCTCAGTTGTCTTGAAAAGTGGAATCGCTAAAAAGACAACCTTCGAGTGTGGAGTTCACTGTGGGCTATGATCCTCCCTTAAATGCACAAATTTCACGATCTTCATCAAAAGTTTAATGGGTCCTCTGAGCTACATGACAAACTAAGTCTAATTTTTTCCAGAGATTTTACTACCATCACTGCTGTCTCCAAGACTTAATGAATCTAGCTCCCTCCAGGCTTCTGCTCTATTTATTGAGCTCCAGACTAGTGAAGCAATCCGCCCAGTTTCAAACTGAGACAGCTCTCTCACTGGTCAAAAGATCTGGAGGTGAAGGGCGCAAAATACTGTTATAGTTTCATTGTGAGAAGTATGTGTTTGATGTGTGATGTGGGAATCAGTGAGTGTGGTCTTCATTCCTATTGCTCTCGATCCTGCCTGCAGCGATTGAGGGGCACAGAGGTACTGCGATCACCCAGGCCCACCCTCACCCCTTGCACAAGAAGAGCCAGAGCTCAGGGTCTATAAATAGTTCAGGGTCTTGACAGTGTCAGGCTTGCGTGTGAGATTTCGATGCTCACTTGTTAAAATGTCGCTCTCTCGTCAGTCTGCAGGAGGTACAGAGGAGATGTTTTCATGAGGGCGTCTGTGATGGAGATGCCTGGGCACCAGCGCTCCCAGCTCACAGTAAACGCCCTGCAGACAGCGCCTTGTAAAGCCTGACATTCAATACTGATTTTCACAGGCCTCTTTTCAGCTGCAAATCTCTCCTAATCTCCTCCTGAAACACCAGAGTCTTTCTAATGCTTCCAAAAACTTTTAACGCTTATCAGAGTCAAGTGCTCACTCAGACCAGTGCCAGGAAACAGCAGGGGGTTTTGTCAGGTTTTGAGCTGAGATTTCTGTTTGAGCTGCTTGAACCAGATCTATGTCTTGTATTAATTTAATCTTATTCAAATTAGATAACTTTGTGAGATGCAATGTATTGTTTTGCAGACAGCAATGTGTAGCAGCACGAGATCTTAATTCAGCAGTATAATTAATATCTAGCAGGCTATAACACCCCATTAATATGCATCATCTATAAAACAAAGGAAACATTATTTAAGTGCATTGTGCATAAGAAAAAAACACTTTAAGGAATGTCTACAAATCTTTACATACAGTACAGTATCTTGCAAGCGATTTTGAAGTGCAGTGTTACTGCTGAGTGCAGACACAAGCCAAATAGAAAACGTGCCGGCATCTTCTGTGAAATGTTTGCAGCGGATATACCTAGCTCAGCCCTTCCATGGAGTATAATTTCAAACACTGTTTCGAGATTTTCACCTCATTTCTTATATAGTAGGCTCGGAACATGCAAAACGGGTCTTTGCAATACAAGAATGAAGTTTTTTTTAAAGCACATGCGATCAACGCGGTGTATCAACGCCTTTAAACGTGCTGAACTGTGCACTGCAGAAGCCGTACGACAGGAGCACTCACCTGTGGGTAAGAAGAGTGGATCAGACTGAGAGACAGGCTCAGGCTCACCATGACAACGTGCCTCCACATCATCTTCACAGGACTACACACGACCAATACCCGGTCTTCTCTCCCCGGAGAGCGGCTCCCGGCTGATCGTTTCTCTTCCCTTCCAGTTAATAATCCTGTAAATTCGACGAACATGAAACATAAAAGTCTTCTTTACAAAACAGAGATCATAAATGCTTTCTGAATAATTCATACATTTCAATTGCCTGAACTTAAACTTTCGTTCACCTTAGAAAGCGCAAGACAGAGCTCAGAAGCAAGACTAAAATAACTTAAAACATCTTCCAGTCGAGCTATCGCGGTTAATATTTTTTTCCCTTGCTCGTTTGGAAAGCACATGCAAAATTTCTCTCCTCATAAAAGCCGCCCCGTTGTGGTATTTTTAAACTTAGAGGAAAAACTCAATCCACCACTCGCTAGCGGATCAGCTTACTTCCTAACTTCATGCAGAACAGTGGCGGGACGGTCTGCGATTCTTCATCTCTTTCCAGACAATATTTTAACTTTCCACACTGACCATTCTGAATCCTTCATAATTCCTGTATAAACGCGAATTCTATGTGGCTGCATTAGTCATTTCCTCATTTCAGCGAAAGTTAAGACTTCTAAAAAAATCTTCTTATTCATACAGCTCAGATCAGTACTCGATGATTAAATTAGCTAACCTGTAAAAACAAAAAAACGTTTTTTTTGTGACTGGTGGCGAAGCGCCCGATCAAAGGCAGGAAGTATTTCATTATCTGCATTTAAACAAACTAACTATTTTTCTATCGCGAAGAGACACAGTGAATCCAAAATTTAGGTTAATGCAGCGTGTCCTTGATTGCAACGGTGATTTCTTTAATTAAAAGCTTGCGTATCGCTCGGTAAAGGGAACCCTGCAAACTCAAATCCAGAAAGAATCAGGGCAAGACGGCAAACGCATTATAGGGATGTGGCACTTAAAACCAATACAGGGGTCATATTTTCCTACATCTACCACTGGAAATTTAGTATAAATTAAAGATGGGATTGTGAAAAAATGTTTGGCCCGAGATTTTTTAGCTTCAGGACATCTCTGTTTTGGAGATTGCTGGGCACTCAATTTATAGTGTCAGTGCTCTTGGTTTATTTCGACGCTCGCTGAAATGACAGAGTGCGGCCCCGCATAAGCTGGGCGTGGGTGCTTGTGGGCTGGGGACCCACTCATTTCAAGCTCTGCTTAAGCAGCCGTCCACCGAGACGTGACAGCACACGCACGCAGCCGTCACTCCGGAGATCCTGAAATAATTCATTCATCCTCCAGCGTGCACGCAAACCGTCTTTCAGCAGCGCAGGGAGCTCCTGGGTGTACTCTCTGTTGGCATCTTCCTCGGTTTCATTTCGCTGTATTTTCGTACATAAGTTGCAAAAACCTCCTGGCACGCTTGTGCTTCTGGAACGGGCTTTGGAAAGCTGCAATCCCTATAAGGAGCAGGTGTATGTCTGGTGATGGGCGGATGAATGAGGGCAGCAGGGTGACGCACTGGGCCCTGAGGTGCCGCCTGCGTGGAGGTCATATGTGTTCTTGGGTCTCCTCCAGGAGCTCCAGTTTCCTCCCACAGTCCAAAGACATACTGGCAGGTTCATTGGCTGGCCCTGGCACGAGTGCTTGTGTGCGTCTGTGTGTGCGCTGTGATGGACTGGTGTCCTGTCCGGGGTGTACCCTGCCTTGTGCATGGCGCCCGCTGGGAGAGAGTTTGACTCCTGCGGGACTCTGACTTGGAAGAAGCAGTAGGAAATTGGATGGGTGGATAGGTCAGTGAATGGCACTGTGTGATAATAGCTGTTCACAGTGTGAGGAAGCATGTTGTGTAGCCATGAGAAGGACTGAGTTGTGTTTCTCAGGTAACACTGCTGTCTGTCATGGGCTTTTTTGAGGGCTGGCAGTAGCCGTAATGAAACATCCCACAAACACATACTTCCCAGTGATCACCCTTCATCATCATCATCTGCAACATCGGCTTCTCCCTCAACAGTGGCCATTTTGTTGTAAAATGTATGTAAAACAAACGTCCATATAAAACAGTCTGTCCGAGAAAAGCTTGGCTTCTTCTCAAATAGCAATCTGCAGGCCCAGTCCTGCCTGTTCGGTAAAACACTATCATCTTTACTTGTTTTTAAAATATGCCTTTAAATTCCAAATGTATTTGCTTGTGGTAAACTCAATCTGCTCTTCATGAAATAAACACATTTGTGTGCAGAATCAACAACTCTGGTTATTGCTGTGTGCTGTGTTCCCCACTTGGAACATCCAAGGCTCTCATTTCACAGTACAATCGCTGTACACGGAAGGACTCTGCCCTCTGCAGGGCAATCCCAGCTCTGCGTTTTTCATAAATATTGAGTTATTTTGATTTATTGCAAACAAATAACTTTGGATACACATATGCCAGAACTTGAGTAGGGCAATAGGTTTCAAAAGGAATGTGAAAGAAAATAGAGAACTGATGAGCCAATTAGGATGCTAGTAATAATAACAATCATAGCTATGCAGTGGTGCCTCGCAGCACTGGGGCCCTGGGTTCAATTCTGGAC